GCTGATTGATAAGCTCCACCGGAGCATGGTGGCGCGGTTACAGTTTTACAGCTTGAAGTTGACGGGAATTGAGAATTATCAGGCGACGACGTTGGAGAGGTTGCATATACAGCGTAGTGCGGTATGTTTGTATCGACACCCTACCCTGGCTCCCTGCCTACTTCTTTGGGAACCGGGAGCCGTTGGGATACGGTTGCTCTTCGAGGGGAAATGCTGACGATCGAGACAGCTGTATAACCTGCTTTCCCAACGAGAGTCCAAGATTCAGTTCCAAATGGCTGGTGAGCAGCGACGACTTGCGCATGCGAGTAAGCGAGACAGCACGGCGATGAAGACGATTTCGCTACTCGGTGCCGTTTTCCTTCCCGGCACGTTTCTCGCGTCTGTTTTCAGCATGACGTTCTTCGACTTTGCCAAAGGTACGTAGTGTGGCCTTCTTGTAATAAAAACACAACAATCTCGACATAGGGGGGCTAGGTTGTTCCCGTCAAAAAGTATTTGTTGTTTGCTGACTGCCAGGGTAGACGCCGACCCCGTCATCTCGAAGGAGTTGTGGGTGTACTTCGCCATCACTGTGCCTCTGACGATTCTCATCGTCGGCGGGTGGATCGTGTTTGACAGGCGGCGCGAGAGCCAGTTCCGCGTCGAGGACGCCGACCTGGAGAAGAATATTGAGCACATGGAGGCGGATATCATGGCCATGATGAGGAAGCGGACGATGAGCAAGGCGAATACCTGGACTTCGGTCACGTCGCCCATACGGCCATGATGGGCGATGGGCATGTCTCGTGGTGTCAATGTGATAAAAGGGATTTGTGAGAGAGAGACGACTTTAACATTCTGAAGAGGTAAGTATATAGATGGTGGATGGATTTTGTGTAAACTATCGCTATCACGCCTTATGACCTGACGACATTCATGAGCGAACCATATTATAACAGAATTTGAGCGACATACATATACACATGTGTAATACTAGCATTAGTGAGCTGGCAATCGAGTGATTGGACGATATGTATCTCTGCACCACATGAATCTCAAAGATAAAGTGAGCCAGGATGAACGCGAGCCTGAGCATGAGTTTGGCCCACACCCTGAAGCCGGTGCGGCCCGTCCCTCATGGTTATGCTCGAACGGTTTTGAGCATAGTTGCAAGGCCTCGATCATAGAAATGGAGATTTCTCATGTAATTTCAATTGACATTGTAAATCGTTGTAACCTGTACTTGTCACTACGTTGAGTCTATAAGCACCAACTTGAGATTGGAGCTGGACGATACAGGGATAATGTTGCAGACGAAAAGAACCGGCACTAACAACAATGAGGGGTTCAACTTAGTAAGGTAGGTAATATGGCGGGGTTGACACTATCGATAAGAGGATGGGGGCAGGGGGCCGCCAAGGGGTCAGGTTTCTTTGCGGTGAGGTTCTGGGCTCCAGGTTTTGCTGTTTCTTTACCGCTAAAAAGAACCCTGTGACGACATCCCACAGCATCCATGGGAAGGGGGGCAAGGAGACTGACTGTCACTGGACGGGACGCCTCAGCTCACCACAGTCCATGAGCGAGCTTTATACCGGCCCCCCTGAAGAAGAGAAAGGAGAACCACTTAGGTCTAGGCTGGTCGTGTTCCCACCCCTTGCCAAGCTGAAACATAACTGGATTTTCTATTTTTTGCCCAAGCGGCGTAGCGGGTCAAAAATCAAGATTGAATGGCAGTCGTTTCCTAGGTCCCCTACCCATGGATCATCACCCACGACTGGACCTCTTTTTTGCCGGGGAAGGGGAAGCTTGGGGCGCGGGTTGACGTACTGCCCACATATTGACATTAGGACCTTCGGGACAGCGAGCCGAGTACCTAGTCAGAGTAGCTTGGCCTTTTGGCTTGACTTACGTAGCTCCTGTAGCTCTCTTAACCTGGAAACCTTTTCTACGTTTTTTGTAGTATCACAAGCTCGCGCTACCTATGCCTAGTGGCTGATTGATACCGGGACACGAGACGCGGATTGTATCTCGTGGTTCAGCTTGCATCATCCATCGTCTCACTATTCTTGTTTTGTCGCCGTTCATCACAAATTTATTCCTGATCACCATTTTTGAACCACTCCTCTCCTCTGTCTCTCCTCTTCACCGCCTTATCAAAGCCATCACTACAAAAAAACAGATCATGGCGGACGCAGCAGCACCAACAGCGCCGGCAGCGGCAACAGCACCGGCAGCAGCCCCCCTACCCCAGGGCACCATCGTGTCCGCAACATCGGACCCTTCCAAGCCCTCGCTGCGATACCAGGCCGGCGGCGGTGCCAGCGAGACGGAGCGCACCGTCAAGACGCTCGGCGACTCGGTCATACCGCACCTGACAAAGATCTTCAACGTCCACGCCGGCCAGGACGACAAGAAGTGGCACAAGGAGCAGATTGCCTCGTTTGTGAAGAACGTCCAGGCCGAGGAGACGCCCGAGTGCCTGGTGGCCAACACATCTGAAGCAGCAGCAGCAGGAGGAGCAGCAGCTTCACCGCCAGAGGAACTCGACTTCAACGGCTTCCTCAACTACATGACCTCGTCCGCCTCGGCCATTACCAGACCCGTTCACGAGGAGGACCTGTCGTACCCGCTCTCGAGCTACTTTATCAGCTCCAGCCACAACACCTACCTGACGGGAAACCAGCTGTACAGCGAGTCGAGCACTGACGCGTACAGGAACGTGCTGGTGAGGGGTTGCCGGTGTATCGAGATTGACGTCTGGGACGGCGACGACTCGGACAATGAGGATGGCACGTCGGTGAGCAGCAGTGACGAGGAGGCCGTTGCCGCGGCTGCTGCTTCGGGGCAGGCGAAGCCGAAGAAGGAGAAGAGGAGCAAGCTTGCGATGCTCAGGGATAAGATGCCCGGGTCGCTGGCGAGTAGGCTGGAGAAGACTTCGTTGGGGAAGAAGATGGATGAGAGGATTGAAAAGTCCACGAGCCCGCCGACGGAGACGGCCACCACCCGGTCAGCTGGCACTACTGCCGCTCCCGCTCCATCTACGGCTACGGCTACCGCCTCTGCCGCGGAGAGCACCGCCGCTTCAACCACCCCCAAGGAAACGGCACTCGGGACGGAGCAGCCGCCGCTGCAAAAGACCCCTTCGCCGAGGATGTTCCCCATCGAACCCCAGGTCTTCCACGGCTACACCCTCACCAAGGAGGTGCCCTTCCGGCATGTCTGCGAGACGATCCGCGACTATGGTTTCCACTCGGCCGACACGCCCCTCATTGTCAGTCTCGAAGTGCACTGCAGCGCCGAGCAGCAGGAGATCATGGTGAAGATCATGGAGGATACCTGGGCTGGCCTGCTCGTTCCCACCCCGGACGTCGACGCCCCCGAGCTGCCGCGGCCTGCGGACCTAATGGGCAAGATCCTCGTGAAAGTCAAGTACGCACCACCGCCGGGGGGCTCTGGCGTGACTGGCGCGCAGGACGAAGACTCGGAGGAGGACGGCAAGACCACGCCACCGGCACCACCACCAAAAAGCAAAAAGGCGGCGGCGAAACCGTCCAAAATCATCCAGGCGCTCAGCAGGCTGGGCGTCTACACCCGCGGCGTGTCCTTCAAGTCCCTCACGCAGCCCGAGGCCTCGATGCCGACGCACATCTTCTCGCTGTCGGAGAAGGGCGTCATGGAGGTGCACGAGAAGCAGGGAGACGCGCTCTTCCACCACAATCGGCACTACCTGATGCGCGCGTACCCGTCGGGCCTGCGCATCGGGTCGTCCAACCTCGACGCGGCCGTCTTCTGGCGCAGGGGCATCCAGATTGTTGCGCTCAACTGGCAGAACTGGGACGAGGGGATGATGCTCAACGAGGGCATGTTTGCGGGTACCAAGGGTTATGTTTTGAAGCCTGAGGGTTGGTCATCCTTTTTTCCCTAATCATCTCTACGAGTATCTCATACTAACATCAATCCACAGGATACCGTTGCCTCAAAACCGGCTCTACCCCAGACCCGTCCTCGCCCACCACCCCGCAAATCACCTACAAAACCCTCGACCTGCAGATCGACGTCCTCGCAGCCCAGAACCTGCCCCTCCCGCCAGGCGACACCCGCATCTCGGGCTTCAAGCCCTACGTCAAGGTCGAGATCCACGTCGAGTCCCCCGAGGAGCGTCTCCCGGGCGCACACATCAAGGACGACGGCCGCGAGCGCGAGGGCGAGTACAAGGCCAAGACCAAGTCGAACCGCGGCGTCGACCCGGATTTCAAGGGGGAGAGCTTGCAGTTCGCGGGGGTGCCGGGCGTGGTCGAGGCGCTGACGTTTGTGAGGTTCACCGTTAGGGACGACGAGATTGGGCGGGATGATCTGGCTGCGTGGGCGGCGGTGCGGTTGGATCGGTTGAGGGCCGGGTACAGGTTTGTGCATCTCATGGATTGCGAGGGACGGTTGACGGACGGGGTTGTGCTTGTGAGGGTTACCAAGAAGTTGACGTGAGTTTTGTTGGTCCCCTTCCCGTCTCTTGGGAGGGCGGTGGTTTGAATGGGTCGAGGTGTTTCCATAGCGTAGCATTATTAGCATTCAAATTGGAGCATCATTATCAGATTGTGGCTTTCACTTTCTAGGTACCTGTGTAAATATGGATTCATATCGGATCACTCATTAACAAATAAGCTCCGCTAAACACCAGAGAATCCGGTGTCGATCTCAGCTCGGCACAGCTTAATCTGAAGTTTGCGGGACGCAAACTAGCAGCGAAACCGAAAAAGCATGATGTTTCCGACGTGAATAATCGAGCACAGCAATGTAAAGACACTATTATTTGTCACTTGTTAATGTTGAATAAGATGATACGCAGGTGGTGTTCAAATGGTATTAATATCTCATTCAGAGCTCGCTAGTACATGATCATCATTAAAGGATGAAAAGGGGTTTCCACAGAAGAAGCATCCCCTTCAAGACAAAGTCCTATTTTCCACGTCAAACATCCCGATACAAACCAACGACAGGGCTACTAGATAGACTAGCAACATCTAGTAGTCATCGTTGTTGTTCCCGTACCCGGCGTTCTCACGCTTCGACTGGCCCTTGGACTCGAGCTTGTCGCTGTTGAGCAAATCACCCGCCTTCTCGAGGAACTTGCCGACCTTGCTGTCGCCGCCGCTCTTGTTGCTGCTGCCGTACGAGTCGGAGGTGTCGTTGTCCCTGCCACTGCTGCCGTAGGATCCCGTGCTGCCAGACGATCCGTAGCTGTTGTCGTTGTCGTTGTCCCTGCGGGAGGAGCCGTAGGATCCAGTGTTACCGGAGGAGCCGTAGCTGTCCTCGTTATCCTTGCGGGAGGAGCCGTAGGAGCCGGTGTTACCTGACGATCCATAGCTGTCGTCGTTGTCACGGCGGGTGGTGGAGGAGCCGTAGCTGTTATCGTTGTCGTTGTCCCTGCGGGAAGATCCGTAGGATCCAGTGTTGCCGGAGGAGCCGTAGCTGTCCGAGTTGTCGTTGTCGCGGCGGCTGGAGCTGGTGTTGCCGTATGAGAGGGAGTCGGCGCCGGCGAGGTTGGAGGAGGTGGAGTCGTCTCCGTAGGACGAGGTCTTGTTGCCGGAGCCGTAGGTTTCGTTGTCCGACTTGCGGGAGGAGCCGTAGCTGTTGTCATTGTCGTTGTCGCGGCGAGAAGAGCCGTACGAGTCCGAGGTATCGTTGTCCCTGCGAGACGAGCTCAGCCCCGAGGAGCCGTAGCTGTCCGAGGTGTCGTTGTCACGACGGGTCGACGAGCCGTAGCTCGAGTCGTTGCCGCTGCGGCCCGTGTTGGAGGAGCCGTAGCTGTTGTCGTTGTCGTTGTCACGGCGCGAGGAGCCGTACGAGTCCTCGTTGTCGCGGGTGGAGGAGCCGAAGCCGCCGGTGGTTCCCGAAGTGCCGTAGCTGTCCTCGTTGTCCCTGCGGGAGGAACCGTAGTTGGACTGGGGATGTGTTAGTGAGGGCAGCTTTGGGAGTAAGCATGGCGTAGATATACTACTTACGTCGTCGTTGCCGCCGTAAGACATGATGTGTGAAAATCGGGAGGTGGTTTTTGGTTGTGAGATGAGTTGAGATGAGATGATGATGAGATTATGCTAAGCTATAATCACGCTCGATGATATTGAGGGGTTCGAAGGGTATTTAAGAATCCAGATCGACTTCAGGCTGAGCCATGATGCCAATTACACTCCCACATGCGTTGGACCCTGTTATTCCAACCATCCATCCCCTCCTATCCCCGTAGGACTCCTCGGGACCCTCCTCGATCGACAAGACAGTGGTCCATCGAGCGAGGGTCGCACGCTAGGAAGATGTACGTTTACGCCATACCTAGAACCCCGTCATCCGCCTGTTGGGAACTCGGGAGTTGGGAGCCGGGAAAGAAGGAACGAGATGTGTAGTGGGAAGCTTGGTTGGTCACTCTGAGAAACCGGTCTTTTGCCTTGCCTAGCTGAAGGAGGATGGGGACCACCATGGGGCGGTAATCTGGGAGACGTTGGACCATGTCGCGCCACTTGGCACGTCAATTGGAGAAGCGTTTGTGTATGCGTTCCTCCTAGGACAAAGTTGGACTAGGCCAAGATGCTGTCCATCAGCTTTGAAGGGGTGTGTCTTAGATGGTCAAGCGGGCAGGGCAGGGCCAGGCTGCGGGATGGAACTGTATGAAAGTGGACTGCGAGATCCTTGATTTTCCCTTTCCGAGAGATGAGCGGGCAAAAGAGAAGAAAGCGCTCATATCCTTTGCCTAGCAGGCATCGTCATGAGTGGGAGTTGATGCTGTCCTTTGCGTCTTGTCGTGACTGAGGAATCGATAGCAACCAAGACGTTAGCTATCATCTCGAGGTTTGGTACCGAGTTGAAGGGCTCGGGTAACTGGCACATGGTCCACCATTATGTCGTCATTCCGGAGACACATTAACGCATCTCCAAGACGGAAAGGTGGGATCGAGAAACACCATCTTTCCTGACGGGCGTAACGACTGCGACTTGCAGTTGACGTGTCGGCAACGCCAACGTACCAGCGATGATGTGCGAGCAAGGCACGCAATAGTCTCATCCGCAGGAAAGCCGGTGACACTACTCTCGATGTCTCTGGTCGTTGTACTCCGTAACCCCGCCACAGCTAAGAAAGGCAAGGTTGTCGAGCTTCGAGAGCTCTGGCCACGCTAGTTCTGCCAAGAAAACCTGATTTAAGCAAACATGGGACGGTACCAAGAGAGAGCTGGCGTCCTTTCCCTGCTGCAGTAGGCAGCATGTAATACTGCAGTAGGTAGAATTACCCGGTTTTTCTCGGCATGGCATCACATTTGGTCCTGGAAGCAGGCACATCGGGAAGCGCTGCTGGTGTGGACGAGACGAATCGGGCTCCCTCCCCTCCCCCTTTTCGCCATCTAAGGTTCCTTTCCTTTCATCTCCTTCCGTAACCTGACGAAAAGATTGGGACAGTTGGGACTTCTTCCCACGGATTCGGCGCTGCCGGCGACGTCAACTTGGAACCCCACCTGTGCATCCAATGGTTGGATGGGGACGGTGGATCGGCCTGGGCTCCGGTACGGCGGTACCCCACCCGCCAGCTCGACAGGGGTTGACTGTGCCCTGCGGTCTCTCAAGGTGCAGAAACTATGTACCTCCCAGCCAGCGCCAACGACACCATCACCAGCTGAGGTCCGCGATATTACCTGCAGCTGGCCAACTGCTTGGCTGTTCCAACTGTGTCTCCACGTGCTCCCGGCGAATCGACGGACCCCGCAAGGGCGTCTGGTGTCTTTGAGTTGGCTGGAAGATCGTGCCGGCTTCTCTTGTTGCTAGAGACTTTGTAGTTGAATGTCGCTTTGGAGCTTGGCTCTTTCGAGACAATCTACCCCGCGATGTCTGGAGCTATGGCCCTCTGCCGTTGGCGCGTTCTGCCGCTCCTGGCGGCCTCCTCACTGTTCCCGTTCTAACTGATTTCTCTCCTTGTGTTAAGCAAAGGATCATAGATTATATCGAGGGCCGAATTCTTGGGCACTCTGCAGTGAGGACGACAGCCTTCTTGTCTGTTAAAATCGAAAATGACTCAGGAATATGATTTCTGATGACCTACCTCGTCGCACTCATGCGGTCTAGCTCTGTTCATTGACAGTATCTCAGACAGGACCGCAATCTCCCAGCCATGTCCAAACCACTACCGATGCTCCTAGGATACGGTGCCCTTCATCAACCAGCTTGCCTACATTTTGCTCACGGAAACGCGTAATGAACGGCTCGTGAGAGGGTCGTTCTTCAGAACAATAGCCCGCTTACACTGGCGTCTCATTTCATATCTTACTTACATTCAGCATCTTGAGGCAGCAAGCGCCACTTTCCACACCCGGAAGATCACGAAGTAACGGACAATAGACTCTTACTTCCCAGCCCTACAGCACGCAGCAATCGTAATGCTCAGGATCTAACGCACTCCGGGCGTAGCTCGACAAAACTAGACCCCAGTACGACGTGCAGATATCACTCGTCCGTTGTCCGAGCATGCATGCTAAGGCTGGCTTCCAAACGCCGCGAAGCGTCTTGAGCAAGTAGATTCCAAGGACGACATGAGATGGCGAGATGTCCTTGAGATCTAGGCACCTGTTAAAATCCCACCATGAAAAGATCGGCCAAAGTTACCATAAGACATTATCACACATGTCTCTGTATTGTGTGATGAAACATCAAGCTTCTGGTTCAAAGTTCTTTAAAACCCATTTATGATCCTGGGCTTTGGGAGATCTCTAGCTCTAAACAGACATGTTACATGAGTACATAACTTCGCCCTTTAAGGATGGTCCCTGGCACACTCAACCCAAACATTAACGAAAAAGAGGAAATTCAACAGAAAAGCAATGGTTCTATGTAGATCGTGACGCTACTCAGGATGCGGTGACCTGCCACTCGTCTATGCACAAAGCACTTTCTTCTCTATCCTATGTAGTAATTACCGCTGCTTGTTTCTCAATAATAAACTTTGGTAAAACTTAGCGGCTCTGAAAACCGTTAATATCCTGCCGGCTCGGGCTTGACCGGAAAGGCGGACGCATCATGGTTCCCACGACATTGGTTCTTCCAGTCAACAGGTGTGTACTTGTCGACAATGGACTTAAAGGCGGCCTGGGCCCGGGTCAGCCACACCAATCACTTCACAAACGAGGTCTGGGAGCTTACCAGAGTACAAAAGGACTCATCACCTTCAAGATGGTTGCCAGCAGCCTTGCAGCCGGGGATGATCACCGGCTCATCGTTGTACCGAAGCCTTACGTAGTAACCGTCTAGCTGCTTCTTCTCGGCATCTGTCAATGCGGGGGTCGGCTTACGGCCAATGCCTGGCGGAGCCGTACCCGGCGCCGGTGTACCAGCACGGCCGATGGAGAACCATGAGCCGAACCAGCCCGCATTCTTGGGTGCCTGCGTTGGAATTGATGAAACCTGGGGATCGCGGAACATCTCCACAGCGATGTGGCTCGTGAAAGGAGGCCATTTGTCTGGACCAAAGGCACCCAGGCTGGCTAGTATACCCGCAAGAGTGGTATCATGGCAGCCACTCATACCAAACTTGATAGGCTTGGGAGCTGCGCTAGCTTGCTTGATCTCGTAGGCTCCATCTGCCGGACTGTGTTCGACGCTTCCGACCATACGAGCGACAACATCGCCCATCAAGCCACCTATGCCAAGTGTGCGATACTCCTGGCTCTCGCCGTATCCGCTATACCATTCTTCTACACCAATTCTCTCAATAATGGAGAGTACCTTGGGATCGTAGAACTCCGAGGGTAGCTTCGTCTTCGGGCCGTGTGCGCGTGATGCGTTGATGGTGTCCATGATTCCACTAAGCCTAGGCTTAGAATCAACTGCAATGAGTTTACCATCTTCCATCCATTTCCCGAGTTTCTTGTTCAAGTAGCCCATCTCTGGAGTATTGTTCCAGCGCTCGGCAGTCCGCTGGGCGAATGCGCGGGCGAGAATATTGAATCGCCGGCAGTGGCCTTCGTTGGGAAAGAGAGTCTCGTCTGGCTGTACCCGCCCTAGGATCGTGAGTGCGGGGAGATCGGGTGCCCGATGCCTAGCCGGATAGAGGCCAGAAATGGCTTGTTGAAGAGACTCCAGAGCTCGCGGGACCGGCGTTGACCTAAGATACAGAGACTCCGCGTCGGTGAGGTCTGTGGGCAAGAAGCTGAGTCGATCAACGTAGAGATCACGAAAGCGTTTGCCTAGTTGGTGGGTGGTCTCTCGGCCGCGGTCCGTAAGCATGCCATGATCACAGATATCGTCAAGCTCGCCCTTGGGGCCGGCAACGATTACAGGACTATCGTCTTTAGAACCGAACCCCTCGAGACGTCTCTTCCAATCGAGGTATGAGTATTCACCGGTGTCCGGATCGAGAACAGCATTTCGGAGATGACGAACAACACTGCAATAGGGCCAGTACTCCGGAAGGCCGGTGTTGGAAAAGCGAGGGTTGACGGGAGTTCGTTCGCCGTGCCGGAGAAGGATCTGCACGAGCTGGAGCTTGAGCTGTGGAGGGTACAGCTGGCGCAGCTCGGCGTCGGTGTAAGGTTGGCGAGGTTCAAGGGTAGTCATAGCTTCGGAGATTATTCTACGGCTCGGATAGGTAGATGGAGGAGATCAGGGAGCCCGGAGGAATGCTTGCGCGACGAGGCCTGCCGGGGGGAGCACAATGAGTAAGCTCAACAAACAGGGTAATGCATGGGACGACGACAATGGCAATGGAGGGTGGGAAACGAAGCTCGAGAACTGTATGTGTTTGTGACAAGACGTTGGGGGAATCTGTTTGGCGAGGCGGTTTGGTCTAAGCCTCCTTGAGCTACCTTACCTTGTCCTTCCCTGGATGCTGGAGGGCAGTTGGGTAGGTACCTTGTGCTTTCCTTACGTACTCCATACTGCAAATCGCGGACGATGCATTGGATTTCGCGGGGCAGGGATGCGACACTGAAGCCGGGCCAACATGGCAGTCGCGGTCGCTGGCGGGTGAAGGCTTTCCATTGGGTTGGCGGCT